GGCAGACGGGACCTTGATTTAACGTCTCATCCGAAGGTGGCACCTCTGACAATACAGTGCCCCGCCAAGCACTGCACTGTAGTGTCAGCCTAGACTGTGATCTCAAAGTCTTTCATACAGCAGTTGACATAGTTGCTACGACAACTGCTTCCTCAGTCCCAAATTGATGCTGTTCCTCTTCCTCCCCACAGGACATCACCTTATCTGTTATAGTTGGCTGGTAGATTTGAGAGCAGATTGGAGGGAAGGGGTTAAAGACAACTTGCGCATTGCAAAGTCCAAAAACATCCATGAGGTGAACAGCCAATCGATCTGAAGGATTGTTGGTCAGAAAAGCTCTATGCAATTGAGCAACAATGACCCTGGGAAAAGGGGAGAGGGAAGAAAACCTCTCCAACACAACAACAACAACAAATTGACCCCTGTTGGGAACCATGTGTCTGAAGAATGGATCAAACTTCACTGGTGACTGTGGACAAGTCTTGCAGAGTTGGCAACTTAATGGGCCGAATGGCTTCCATGTGCGATAATTTCAATAATCTCCAGGCCAAAGCAATGGGTATGTGTCGAGATTGCTGATTTTTTTTGATGATCGCTCACGAACACAGGGTGGGGGCGACAAAATAACACAAACTTTTAACAAGCGGTTTCTGCGAATGATACCAGCAAAAGCAGAAACAAAAGGGTGGATTAACTCCCCATTTCTTTAGGAGATTGGGTGGTGTGTTCAGCCACAATGAGCTGGATGCTTATTCTGAGAAAATTGTGGATTGAAGCGATTATGCCTTGGGTAACAAACAAACAGCAAACAAGCCCGTGTTTACAGCTGGCTGCACCTCCCCCGTCTCCCCCCCAATTGCCTAGGCTCTAGGCTACTTCATCCGTTTGGTTTAACCTGGCCACCGCCTCTCTCAATTAACCCTGGCCCCTCCTCTGGCCCTGACATCGATCGGTGCCACACAAAAGGGCTATAGGGTCCCGTGTGAATTTCTGAATAAACAAACAGCGGTTGTGCAGAGTTCTGCTTTTGTTCAGCTGTAGGGGACAATGTGTCGGAGGAGTTCACCCCGTCAACCTCACTCCCCTCCCACTTCCCCAAGAGCACTGTTCCAGCGCAGATTAAAAAAACAGCCTTAATTCTGCAGAGGCACGACTTGCAATACACTGGCCTTAAAACCGGAACGAATGTTGCCACATTCAGGGCAGACACAGTGAAATAGGAATGAGATATTGGGGTGAAATTAATGGTGCTTCTTAAGCATTCAATGTGCTAAGTATCATATCAAATGTTATGAAGTGTTCCCAAATTATCCCCTGGTTCTGGTATACCTCCATTCCTTTGACCTCTGTCAACCTGCGGAGATGACTTTTAATTTACAATCCATTCCATTATTGGAAGTTTGCCCAAGTGTGTTGTTCATGATTATTAATAATAATAATCCTTGCAGTTGATAAATATATAATATATAGTACCGCTCACACCAGGAGGACGTCTCAAAGTGCTTCACGGAATTTATTGTATAGTACAGTAACTGTATACTTTGTAGAGGAAAGCAACAGTCATTTTGCGCACAGCAATGTCCTGCAAATAGCCATGAAGTGAATCCCCAATTTTCTTTCGGGGATTTGTTGACCAGGACATTGGGAGATTCTTCCCCTTCAGAGTAGTGCCATAGCATCTTTAAAAAGCACCTGAACAGACAGAGCAGACTCGGCTCTCATCCAAAGCAGAGCATCTTTCACAATGCAATTACAACATATACAGTCACTACAATTCGCAGTATATCCAGTGAAGCGCTTTGGGACATGAAAGGCGCTGTATCAAATACAAGCATTACTATTATTATGGATGCAATCGGCAGTTTAGTAATTAGGGTCTGACTTCAAAACTAACGTCCAGAAACCATGCTCTCTTCCCTCCTCTGAATATATATAAGATCTCAAACGCACAAATCTCTTGGTGTTCAAGACTGCCTTAGCACAATTGATTTTTGGTTTAGGTTCCATGTTTACATTGCAGAATTTATAATATTTTACAAGCCAATTTCCTGATGAGCCTATTACTGTGCAGGATTGCATCGCCTAGCTTTATTGATCTATTTACTGCTGTAAACTGCACCGTAGCAACAATTCTTCTGATATTGGATTAACACTGTGTCAGTTTAAGGGCCCTAAATGCAACAATCAACCTGTGCAGATAAGTTTTTTTAAAAAAGAAAGTCTCACAGCATTGGAATGAAATGTTTCCATTTCACCACTTATTGATTATCGGTTACGAATAACAATTCCAATAATTTCCCCCAATTATAATTGTTATATATAAAAATTGGTTGTTCGCTTCATGGCTGTTTGTGGGAATGTTGCTGCCATGCAAATTGGCTGCCATGTTCGCCTGCAAAATACAGTAAATCCTGCGATTTGAGACGTCTTCCCAATGTGAAAGGTTCTATGCAAATGCACGGATAATCCCCACACTGTTGCAGTGCATTAAATTTAACCAGCAACCCAATGATTTCAATAGGAAGAGCCATTACAATGTCTATGTGCACAACACTTTGCTAAAGAACTGAGCAAAGTCACCCTCCCCTTTGTCATTCCTGCAATAACCCTGCCCCCGAGCTCGCACAGGGCATCTTTAAAAAGCCCCCACGTCACGTGCTCACACAGTAGAATTCCTTTAAACACCAGTAGCTGTCCCGGCTTGCACTCTGACTAAAGGCACATCAATAAAACCAACTTAGGTGGGAGAAAAACCCTTCTGACTGACCTCTCCCAAAATTTAAAGGACTGCTCGGACACATTAAATCCCTGGTGTTGTAAACACTGCCAGGTCTCATCAATCACTTTATAGTGCCTAAAGCCCTTTGAGCAACCAGGCAAAGCTAAATCCCACCAGCTACTGTATCCCAGGATCAGTCAGTGCATTTTGCGACTTACCAGGGTCTCAAAGGAGACAGCAGCTGCCAATCTTGTTTCCTCCCTCCCTCCCTCGTTCCCCCTCTCTCTCTCTGGTTTTGTTTAGAGGTGAAATGCCATCCAGTATCGAATCAAGATAAACGGCTTCAAAATCATTACCCCATACCCTCTCTCTGCTGTGACTGACAGGCTGGGAAAGGGTTTTCTATTCAAAGATGTAATGGAGCTGAATCCATTACCGTGCCAATGGCCTCTGCGTCCAGGAGTGATCGATTATCCACATATTAAGACAATTCGTGCACTCGTATTTTTAAACAAACCCAGGAATCCCTTTAACCTGCAAAATGCCGAAACTGGGTAACATCCGTGTGGCCGCATAGTGGACACGGATTGATTTTCTGACACGTGTGTGTGTGTTGGTGTGTGTGACCGTGACCTGGAGGAATGGGAATCGTTCGATGCATGGAACGGATTCCAATCAGGTTACGGTTTGAGTTTGGTTATTTGTTTTTGTTTTAATAAACAGAATTTAAAAAATTAAAGGACGTGGCTTTGAAAGTGTTCATTAGCACCTTTAACCTGCAGCGAGAACATTGTGTCTTAATAAGCCTTACAATAAATCTTAGGAGCCATTACACTCTGGTTAAATAATGCTAAACAGGGAGGTGGGGGTAAGAATACACACACGCACATACACATGTACACTCTCTGCTGACACTGTACTGGTCGATAATTTTACAGACCTTTAACAACCCACGATAAATAATTATAATAATGCTTGTATTTGATATAGCACCTTTCACAGCTGGAGGACATCTCAAAGTATATCACAAGATTCACTATGAAGTGTAATTACAGTATTTTGGTAAGCAAACATGCCCGCAAAACTTGTACAAAATGCACCTATAAACCGAAATCCCGAACTCCACTTTATATAGTTGTCTTGTTCCCTGGATGTCCCAGGAAAATGGCGTAACAGCCCTTTGTAGATTTAACGCAAGCTCCTGATTTGTGGTCACACTCACGGGGCCTTCAAAAACGTCCCACCCATACCCCCCTGCCCACCCTGATCGATGCTACTGGTAAAGTCCTGTAGCTCAGTGGTTAAAGCACTCGCCTCACAAGCGAGAGGACCTGGGTTCGATTCCCTGGCAGGGTGAAAAGTTAGTAGTTTCCTTACTCCACACGCCTCTGTTTACCCAGTAATAAGTAGGAACCCGATTGTTAGGCAATTGGCAGATCACTTTTCCGGGCATAATAATACCTTCAAAAAAAAATAAATAGAAAGTAATAATTTCGTCACTCAATCCACGACTATTTGTGGGATACTGCTGTGCGCAATGGCTACCGTGTTTCGCCCACAAAATATACACTCAATTCACTTTATAGTATATTCTGTGAAACGCTTTGAGACATCTCGAAGATGTGAAAAAGCGCTAATTCAAATGCAAGGATTATTATTCTTATTATATTACCAAAATAACAGCTGTCATTTCAGGATCAGTTTAAATATGGCTAAAAAGCAAATTTCCAAAGTTACGGAAAAAAAAGCAGCAATGTCGAGATTTATAAAATTCATTAGCGACGTTCAATTACCCGCTCTCTGCTAAGTGTCATGTCATATAAACAAAGCTTTCATTTACCAAATGTCTCCCTCTCACATAATCCCAGTTCATTCCAGTCTCTCCAGTTCCTCAGGAGAATTCAAGAAACCAGCAGCACCTGTTTTTTCGAAGTGGACAGGTCGAGAGGAGCGGGTGATGGGAGGGAGAGTGTGTGTCAGATAGTGAGAGCGAAAGTATGTGTGTAGGAGAGAGAAAATGTGTATGTGTGTGAGAGAGGGTGTATTTGTGTGTGCGTGTACAAGTATTAGAGAGAGGGCTTGTGAGAGAGGGAGTGAGAGTGCAATAGAGAGATAATGAGAGAGTATGAGAAAGAATGTGAGAGATAGCGATTTAGAGAGAAAGTGTGAAAGGGAGGAGAGAGAGACTGCGCGAAAGAGAGAGTAAGAAAGTGAGAGAGGAGGAAGGGGCAAGACCAAAAACAAATGCAGCACCTTCTTAGATGGGGAAATATAAACTCACCTCTCTTCTGCATAAAAGCAAATAAGTTGTCCAAGAACTCTTTCCGGTTGGGGTCGTTGTCAAGCTCGTAAAGCTGTGAACCAAACGGAAAAGAAAACATTGATTGATGTTAGCTCACCCTCCACAAGGCCGTCAACCTAGACACCCACCGCACACCTCAAACACCCAACCAGACACCCTCCGGCCTCTGAGAAACCAACAGTCCGCCTTACTACACTAATCAGAGAACCGAAATTTCACCATCTCTGCCCCAGGAGATCACGTTTCTTCAAACTTAACATAACGTAAATTTCTTAATTTGGAAGCAGGTTTCAATAGTAATAATCGTCCTTACATTTGACATAGCACCTTTCGGAAGGAAGTCTCAAAGCAGGGTACACCGCGAAGTGTAGTGACTGTAAATCTGGTAGGCAAATGTGGCAACCGGTTTGACACGGCAATGTCTCGCAAACAGCTTTGCAGCGAATGACTGATTTTATCTGAGAGATTGTCAGCTAGGACACCCTTCTCTTTCTGAATAGCATCACAGGATCTTTAAAGCCTTTCAGAACAGACAATATGAGACCTCAGTTAAATGTCTCATCCAAAGGATGGCACCTCCGACAATGTAGCACATTGGGCTTGAACCCACAAGCTTCTGATTCAGAGGCGAGAGTGCTACCGACTGAGCTGGGGGTGATGCACAATTTTCTACAGTTCTTAAAAAGAACTGGCTTCTAAATTAAGACGGGATCACACCCTCGCAGAATTTCCCCATACCAACACTTTCTAGCTGAGGGTCACTGGGTTGAGGCTGGGATTGGAACACTTCATTTCCACCAGCCGAGCCCAATCATTGGAGGTGCAGCTTTATAATGATGAAAAGCATTGGTTACCGCACAGTCAAATCAAAAATAAGCACAACAAAGAGAACAGGAAATACTGGAGACACGACTGGTTAACTGGGTGAGGAGTGTGCTGTTTAACAGACGAGCAGCACAATTGGTGAGTCAAGAGACTACAAAGGGTTTCAAAAAAGCAACAAGACAAGTTCCTGTCAACTGAAAGTATTCAGGGTTATTAGATTTCTAGTCACACATCGAAAGGATTTCGCACCTTATTGACCAGGTAGCTAGTCACGCATTACCACAATCTTTACATTTGGTTTCGCGCCCTTCAGGTTGCGAGAAAGTCTTAAAAGCGCTTCACAGGATATACTGTAAAGAGTAGTGATCTGGGTATTTTGTATTGTGCATTTTAAAGCCTTCCACTCTTTTGTAGATTAATTTATACAGAATGAATTGCTATCAACATCTCCCAAACACAATTGGTCACTCACTCCATGGCTGTTTGTGGGCCATTGCTGTGCGCAAACTTGCTGCCGCGTTTTTCCCACAAAGTACACAGTCTAACCACTTTACACTATATTATGTGAAGCATTTTGAGTCGTTGTGACGATGGGATAAGTCGCTAAATCAAATGCAATGATTATGATTATTATTATTATCATATTCAAAGGAACCAGACTAATTACCTGAGGTACAGCAGCCCAGAGATCACAAGAACTCTGGGCAATATGCTAATATAAGGCCTGACCCCAAGTTTTTCTCTCTTACTAAACACTAAACACCAGTGGACAGTGGAACTACATTGAAGCCCAACGGAGGAAATAAAGTGCAGAAGACGATATAAACACTCTCGAAGCTCTAATCTCACTTTCACTTCAATCTTTTAATTTCCTTCCTGGGTCTGAGTAATTCTGAGACGAAATATGCAGAAGCAGAATGTTTTTTTTCTTTGCATTTCTTTTGAGGAGCAACAGATCCTCTGGGTCAGGTACAAGTGAGAGAGAGGTTGAAGATAGAGTCCTCTCTGCAAGGTGAGTCCTGATGAACAAGTCTGACGGTCTTTGTTTCATCCCGGCTGTTTGTGACGATATCGTTATGCTGCCTCGTTCGCCTACAAAATACGCAGTCACTACACTTTATAATAAAGCCTACAAAATGCTTCGAGACATCTGAACGATGTGATAAAGCACTAGGTCAAACAAAAGGTATTATTATCATCACCAGTAGATTTATCGCTTGAGGGCAGTTTTCTTACTTTGCTTTCAAACGTGCTCACTATGGTGTCTCTCCCAGTTATCCTGGCTTAGGTTACATGAAAGGCGGGGTATAAATAAAAATAGTGGCATGAGACAGAGTGACTGACCACTGTTGACAAGCCTTTTGCGGGCCTGTATCAGTGGAATTATTTATTGCATTTGCTGTTAAAATGTTTTCCTTTAAAAGTCAGACAAAAAGTAAAAGCAAACAAGTAAAATACAATGAGCCTCACGCGGACTGTGGGTCGTTCTGCCCCACAGAGCTGTAGAGGTGGAAGCGATAGGGAGTGAATCAAAAGAGAGATGGAACTCGGAGCAGATGGGAGATGACACTGCCCCATTAAATCTAAAAAGGCTGCAACTGGAATCTACCATTACCTCAAGCCATATAAAATGACTGGGTGACATTTAATGGCCAATCCTCCTGGGTAAAAATATGCTTCGATATCACACAGATATGAAATATGCCTTTCGCAAGGCTTCCCATCCCTTGCCCCCCTCCCTCCCGTTAATGCCGTTTTAAACTGATCAATACTGGCTTTCTGAGAGTGTGGAGGAAGGGAGAGGGGAAAGAGGAGGAAGGAAATAGCCTGGTACAGAGGGACCTTTGATCAAATGTGAATTGGTAAAAGTAAGAGCGTCAGTTCAGTAAAGGAACCGCATGAGTATCGATGCCACTGCAATAATCTTATAACGATCTTAAAATTAGAGCCAGGCCATTTAGGAGTGAAATCAGGAAGCATTTTTTTACACAAAGAGTAGTAGAAATCTGGATCTCTCCCCCCCAGAAAGGCTGGATCCATTCACATTTTCAGGACTGAGGTGGATAGATTTTTGTTAGGTCAGGGTGTCAAGGTATATGGGGCAAAGCTGGGTAATTGGTGTTGAGGTACAGATCAGCCATGATCTAACAGAATGGCGGAACATTTTCGAAGGGCTGTATAGCCTCCTCCTGTTTTTACGTTCCTGTGCAAGAGAATGATTTATTTTACAACAGCCGAAGACAGCAAACCTGCACAAACCTCACTCTTCAACGACAACAACAACAAGATTACATTTGTATAGTGCCTTTCACGTCGGGAGTGAAGACTGGGCTCTGCAATGTCTCCAGGGCAAACGGGATTAAAGAATTTGAGCGCGGTTTTCTGTGGAGGAACCTCGCTCCCGCTCCGCACTCTGAACGTGGATTACAATGGAGGACAACTGCACAAAATTACGCATTTTACTTCCTGCTTGTGGTTGAAATCGATACTCTTTAGTAAGAAAATGAATCTCACTGTTCTACATTTGCGTTCAGTCACTTACAAACATAACGTCAATAAACCTTACAACACTGGATACATCTCTTGGCAGTTGTTAGATTTGATCCCAACCCCCAGCTCAGGTGCAAACCCTTCATTAGCCTTGTGATAATCTCCCGACATAAAAGCCACTATCTAAATGCAATTGTTGTTGTTATTGGAGCCAGAAGATTCCAGGTTCAATTTCTGGGACCATTCACCCTTTTAATCTCAATAATAATAAAAATTTATTATTAATCTTGCATTTGATATAGCTCCTATGGCTGAAGACTGCAGCCAATGTGCACACAGCAAGGTCCAACAAAAAGCCATAAAGTGAACGGCCAATTCATCTGCTAAACATTTTGGCAGTACACCAGGAGAACTCTCTTTCCTTTTCAAATAAAATCTGTCCCCTTGTGTGTTAACACTGATGGAGCTGACAGCTTTCAGATGAGATGTTAAACCAAAGTCCAGTCTCTTCCTGTGCAGGTGTCCCATGGCACTATTTTCTTCTGGTGTCCTGGATGACAATCCACCATATAAAATCAATCATTCACTTTGTGGCCATTTGTGAGACATTGCTGCGCACAAAGAGACACACAGTCACTACATAGAATCATAGAATGATACAGCACAGAAGAAGGCCATTCGGCTCATGCTGGCTCTTTGAAAGAGTTATCCAAATCACTCCAAAGCAATCTCCCCCCATGCTCTCCCCGTAGCCCTGCAAATTTGTCCTCCCTAAATATCTATCCACTTCTCTCTTGAAAGTTGTTAGCGAATCTGCTTCTACCACCATCACCAGTACAGTTTACAGTGAACCCTGAGAAGCACTTTGAGACGTCTTTACAATGTGAAAGGCGCTATATCAAATGTAAGGATTATTATTAGCATCACACCTATTACATACATGCACTTATTTTGAAAGAGCTTCCTGCTCTATTGCAACACACATTTCTGACATCTTTCCTGAATGTTTCCGACATCTTTCCTGAATGCAGTGTGGAAACTCTCGCAAAACAATGACCAACCCTCGACTTCCCATTGTTCTTCCTGTACCAATGTGGCAATGTTTTAGTGTTTAACCTGGACATCAGAGAGCACATGAGATTTGGGTTGCTTATGCCAAGGTCAAAATTAGGGTCAATGGGAGCCTAAAGGTCAAGGTTAGGGTGAAAGGCAGCCCAATAGTTGTTATTGGGCCTGAAATATCACGATCAGGGCCTAACCTGGAGCTATCTAATCTAGAAACCAAGGTTGAGGTTACTCTTAGTGAGGTCAAGGTCCTACAGGTCAATGTCATGCAACTGAATTTCTACTGGGTCCAACAGAACCTGGGTGAAGATGTGACAAGATGGTCTGGAGGAACCGCGAGAGAGAGTCAAAGCCACGAGTTAAGCAGATGGAAGTCAGTGTTCATAGCGCAGGCAAGGAAAGAAAGGAGAAAAATAATCCGACCTTTGCAAAGTCTTTGGCCGCCTCTCTTGCTCGTCCACCATCAGCATCATCATTCCAGGCCAGACTCCCATTCTGAACACACACAAAAAAACAAAAAGGGGAAAGAATGAGAGAACGAGGAAGAAATAAACAAATAAAACAAAATAAATGTAAAAAAAATGAGAAATGCAAATCCATGCATTCTGGCCTGGAGTCTACAAATGGGAGCCAAGGAGGCAGATCACAAGATTGGTTTGGATGAAGAACGCCCTTCGGCCCACCTAACCTCATCTCTCCAGAACACCCACCTTAATATCCTTCCATCATAGCATTCAGCTGCTTCCTGGGACATTTGTGGGACATTGCTGTGCACAAATTGCCATGTTTACTTACGACCTGAGATCAAAACCATTGAATCTTCGGTCATCGAAGGGTTAACACCTAAATCTGCCAACTGCACCCGAGACCTGGGCTGGAATTAGCATTAATGGGCCTGGTGCAGTTTCCGTAATATACGTTTAATTCTGATAAATAAATGGTGCTAAACCCAGTTATTGCTGTGCTCATGTCCATAGAGGCTGCAATTCCTGGTCTATCTTGGCTGGAAAGGGAGGCTGTGTGGACATCGGGCAATTGACATTCATTATTCAAGCCTCACACGAGTACGATGGCCACTTGGGAGCCTGTGGAAGCATCATCCCCCAATGTTAAATAACAATAATAATAATCCTTGTGTTTCATATAAAGCTTTACACGTCGGGTTCTTGTCTCAAAGCATTTCACTGGATTTACTGTAAGGTGTAGTGACTGTATTTTGTAGGCAAACATTTGAGACAAAGAAGGAAACTCATCTATGTGTGTGTGTGAGTGCGTGTGTGTCTATGTTTGTGTGAGAGAAAACAGCATTCCAATTCTATACCGGACTAACCAACCATACATAGTCCCGTGGCCCAATCTCACCCATCCTCTCTGAGGATGGAAATATAGTCTGTATGAAGAAGATATAAAGGGAGAAACGCACGTACACGCAAGCACACACACACCCCTACACAAATGCACACACACTCAGAAAAGCCAAGTTGTGAACACTATCCACAACTGCTCACGCTGTACTGGGAGAAGCCAGCACCACGGCTTCATTTCATCTCCTGATACGAAATGCTGCTCCTAATTTGTGTGTGTAATCTGCGCGATCCATTGAATGACAGAACATTTGGCTGAAACCAAGTTTGACTCCGACATTCCGGGGCAGCGGTTGCCACAGCGACGTGAATCCTTTTTGTCCGCCTGACATTTCCACGCTGTTAATGTCAACGGTTCAAGGTTGGGGGTGCCGACTGTCACAAAGGAGATTACACTTACCGCACGTACATTAACATACTAGTCTCTGGCCTGTTACATTGTACAGCGATGGCTGACTTGACGGTTTCAGAGAGAAGGAACTCGCTTGCCTTTCTCCATTCCAGGTGGTGGGTCACAGAACAGGACAACAAAGCAAATGAGAAGTGGGGTTTCCCTGTCATTTATTTCCGTCCGGGTTTACAAGGGGGAAATCATGTTGTTAATTAAACACCAAAACTTTCTTTTTTTGTGTGTCTTCTTATCTCTGGTACGTCCCAGAGTCCCAATGATAATAATAACAATCCTTGCATTTGATATGGCGCCTTATCACGTCTTCGAGACGTTTCAAAGCGCTTCACAGAACATACTGTAAAGTGAATTGATTGTATATTTTGTGGGCGTCATCAATAATGCGTGGTGACCTCAGAATAGTACTTTCCAGGAGAACCCAGGTGACTTTTCAGTTCCAAGCAGAAATCAGCCCCTCCCCTTCCCATGTTGGGCTATTTCAGACCCGCATAACTGATAGCAGTTCCCAAATACACAGCAGTGCACATAGGGATTGAGACTGTCTGAACCTGCTATCCTATGGCCCTCCCTTCAGCAAGAGAAGTTTTTCATCCCATTGACCTCGGTGGGATTTCAACCTGGGCCCCAGAGGTCAATGCCCTAAACCCACGACCCTTCAAAGTTGCCAGAAAATCTCGTTATATTAAACGATCAGCATCGGTGCAACTCAAATTAACTTCCAACGAAAATTCCAATTTTCTCCCTTGTTCGGAGAAGACGTAACCTTTAATATAACATTAATTTAGTAACTCAACTTCAACAGTAACACCCCACAACTCTTTCCAGCGTTTTACACACAAGCTTCGGTTGATCTGATCTCTTTCTGTGAAGGACACATTCCAGCCACAGAGGTCAAAGGTGTCATTTGCCATTGATATAGGAGTACTGCATTTCCTCGGATATTTAAAGGTCTAAGCTAAGTGACCTCCACGTTTATTTTGGGGGATTAAAAATAATCGACCTCACCTAAAAATGGCATTCTTTCTAAAAAGGCACACCTCCTGATTTTTCCCTCCTGAAGACCCTGACTTGTGCTGGTTTACGGATAAGGATCCGGATTTTTTTTTACACCATCAGTGCCCAAAATCAGTATAGCACCAAATCACAACCTTGGCTTAAATTGGCAAACATAGTCCAGATCATATGGTGCGTATATCAGTTTGATTTAGTTGGTTGCACTCCTGCCTCTTGAGTAGGAAAGTTGTGTCTTCAAGCCCCATGTTAGGGCTTTCGACTCACATAGCCTTGGCTGGCAATCCAATGCAGTACTGGGGGAAGGTGTACGGTCCAAGGTTCTGCCCTTTGCATGAGATGTTAAAAACTAGGACACCGTCTGCCTTTTCAGACGGATGTTAAAGATCCGACGGTAGTTTCTCCCGGTGCCCTGGCCAACAATCATCCCAAATAAACTCATTGAGGCACCAGTTCTCAAAATACACAAAAAAAGTCTCACCACTTTACAGTCTATCCTGGGAAGGTGCTTTGAGGCTTCTCAACGACATGACAAAACATTGTATCAAATACAAGGATTATTGTTTATAATTATTATCCCCTCAACGTGAAAGACACGATGTGCAAGGATCATTTTATATGGCTCAGTCATACACCAGGTGACATTACTCACCGCTCCAAAGGACAGCACACGTTTCACAAATTTGTCTTCCAAATGTATTTTCCTGAATTAAGCAAAATGCTTGAAGACACTCCCAACACTGTCTTGCCTCATTACTAAACATCGACTTATCGCAATCAATACGTAGTGGGCGTGTTTGTATGTGTCTGTGTGTGTGTGTGCGCGTGTGTGTGTGGAATGTTGCCCTCTCTGCAATGTAAATTCCCAATTAAAGCACTCAAAGTAATGAATGTGGCTCTTTGAGTACAACTAGGTCACAAGAGAGGTCCAGGTAAAGAAGATCCCTAAATAATATTGACTGAGAGAATGTATGCTGTCCTAATTTCCTCTCTCTCTCTCTCGTACATTGTCAAAAGTTTTGCTTGAGTACGTGTGTGGGTGTGTGTGTGTATGTGTGTTTGTAATGGGTGTCGAGATGTGTACGCGTGAGTGGGTCAGTATGAATGATGTATGTGCCTGTGTGTGTAAGTGAACATTGATGTGCATGAGTGTCAGGATGTGTGTTGAGGGTGAGAGTGGGGGCATGGGATTCTGTTCCCATGATGGGTGTTTAGAGGCAGATCAGTGGCTGGAGGGAGCAGCGACAGACATTCTCTGCAACAATGCCAACGTGAAGTGCTGTGACACCCTTTCGACTCAGCCCCCGAATTCACCACTGACATCTACCAGAAGCTGAAAAGAATGGAGTCGATGCGGGAAAACAAGACTGCAATTTGCAATGCAAGCAACAACAAATATTATTAATTGGGATACAGTTGTTAGTATGTTGCCTCTTTGGCTACTTGTGCTTTAGCAGAGACATAAGCATGGGGTGGGGTGGGGGGTTGGGTAGGTAAGGACGCCAGGTCCAATAATTTTAATGTCAGAAATGCAACCAAGCAGCGTAGATCACAGGCGGGCAAGGCAGGAATGATTTTAGAGGGTGTAATCTAATCTCGGTGCTGAGGGACATTCATGAGTCACTTGAGATTCACGCTCCAAGTTTAGGATGTCATATCAATCCTTCAATTGGATTCCAAACTCCCGGCTATTTACGTACAACATATACCAGGCACCGAGAACCACAGCAGCTCCCCTTCCCCCGACCTCCAAATGGTCTTGTAGCAACGCAACGATCCCATTGAAGGAATCAATCCAACCTCTGCTCCCCTCCCACATACAAAATACATGTCACGGTTTGCATTGTAACGGCGAATGGAATTTATCCAAAAATACAATACATCAGGAGAGGAGCCAATTGGAAGGACGTTAATAATATGTGTATAATCATCTGCGCATTTGAAACATGTTGAAATGTCTCAAAACGCTTTGCAGGATTTTACTGCGAAGTGTAGTGACTGTATTTGCAGGCAGCGACATCCTGCAAATAGACAAAAAGTGTAGGACCAAAGAAGATTACAGAAAAGGTAGAATTGATTAATTAATTAATTAACTAACAAATTAATTAACTAACCCTTAGCTCCAACATGTTTACACCCTCACCAAAAATGACCATCCCAGCCCACGAGGAAGGGGATGTGGTGATCAGCGGGCAATGCGGAGGTGGGAGGAGGTGGGGTGTTCAGGGAAGTCAATCATTGCCGATCTGTTCCTGCTTGTGTGATGTTGTCTGTGTGAGATAGGCTGCCCATCAGCTGGCGGTTCAGCAGCAGCTTTCTGCTACCGTCCTGCTGAGAGGATTGGATTCAGTGAGGGCTGGAACAGTCCCAATGGAAACAGCTTCTGACAATCTCCAGCAGCTCTGCTTGTCAGGAAGACCTCCCATTAAGGACACACAGACACCCTGAGAGTTAGATTCATTTGTCACATGTACCAGGGCTGAGCAGCTCTGGGATAAAGCCCTTAAATGGCACTAGCTGTGTTCTAAGCACTCTTTTGGTAAACAAGCTATCTTGCATTGGTGGGGGTGGGGGCTAGGGCGAGGGTGGTGGTGGGGAGTTAGGGGGAAATGAGGGCTTGTGGGGCTTGAAGGGTTCGAACTTTGGTTTGCTCCAGGTCCAACATTGGCGGGCTGAGCGCAAGTGTGCTCTTTGTAAAACTTAAAGCGCCT